CTGCATTTTGGGTCCTACCAACACCGCACACACACTCTAATTAGGTAATGAATCCAGAACACCCGCAAAGGGTTCCTGGACTTTTAGATGGTCTCTCAGTCTAAACTGGATTACTGACATACATGGACTTTTTGCACCATTTTCTAATTTTTCCAGTTTCACCTGTATAAATGAAATGGATGAAAAATTATTTATAAACAATAAACATTTGTAAATAAAAGACTTACAGCTCTAAAAAAACACAGATAAACTTAATTTTGTAAAGTAAATGAATCAAGGTCATTGTGTCACTTTAATACAGCAGATTATTTTTACTGCCTGTTGAAATAATCAGACGTGTGAACAGATGTACAGCCGACCACTAAAGGCTGCTTATGGAACAGGAGTCGAGGGGTTAAAGGTGTGGTTCACTTGTTTAATCAATGCATTTGCAGTGGTCTCTATTTGGTATGAATGCCTTGTAAGTGGTATGCTGGGGAAAAGAAGCCCAGGTGCACCTGTTTGAGGAACTAGAAGATTGCCAGATCAGAGGAAAGCTTCAGACGACAGGATTTGGAGTGTTTCTTCCTGACATATGGACATCTCACCTTTGACTGGCCAACAGCAATGAGGCTCTACCGTTGACTCCATTTGCTTTGAAAAGTTGTTGTTCTATCTCCACAAAGAAGGCAAGCCTGGAGGAGTTTTGCTATGTGGTGGAGTTGTTAATAGTAACGGTTAGCTTCTACTAGCCGAGACATTCTCTGCTGTTTCCTGGATGCTAAACCAACAGCAGCCATCACCGTCATGAGTCAAGATGGGCGTGTGACAGTGTGATGTCATGCTGTCAGGTTTCTCCAATCCTAGAGTTTCACCATCTATTTTCTATCAGAAGCTAATGCAGGAGATAGGTGTTGGAGATTATTTTTATGTTCGGCCTGCCTGAAAAACTCAGATTGGCCCTTTATAATCAGATCTAATTAATAAAAAATACATTTTCTGTGAACCACCCCTTTAAGAACCAATTTTCCTGTAAATAAGACTGCAACGTCATAGTAAAATGAAAAAAATCCACCTTCACAGGAAATCCCTTGTTTTTTAAATATGGACAAAACCAGATCCAAGTGTTCAAATGATACTATTTTAAATGACTGGCTTGATTTCTCCTAAGTATTGTTCATGTATAAATGTAGAGATCCGCTTGTGTTGAACAAAGAAGAAAAGTTACCAGCATGTTTATCTTCAACAGGCCACTGGTCTGAAGAGCTCTGATGAAGAAGCTTTTAACGATGAAAATAACAAAACTCACCAAGCTACCCAGTTAGTCGCCTGCTTCCCGCTCAAACGTTTTAATAACTAAAACAAAATAAAGCTAATGGGTAAATAAAACTGGAGGATCTGATGATAACAGGACCTTTAGGAGTGTAAAGGTGATGACAGGGAGGGATCAGGTGAGCGGAGACCGATGCAGGTGTGAGACGAAGAAGTCGAGGCAGCTGAGGGAGAACCTAGAACCTGAACAGATCACAAACATCTTACATTTCATCTGTTTATGGTTTCAAACCCAGTTTGTGATCAACGTCCTGAAAACAACAGCGATCCAGAAGAATCGGAGCTTTGTTTGAAATACCGCCTCTGTTACTTTATATGGCTTCCATTAAATCTCAGCTTTCTCTGCTCTTTATTAATAACACACTTGACATTTATGTTTTCCCCCAATAAGCTCAGCAAGCAACGATTTATGTCACCAAAAGCTTTTTAACAAATCAATGCAACTATTTGTAATTGCTTGTTTCAGGAGATTAAAGGCGGCTGGAGCTGATCTCTGCCTGGTGTTTAGCGGTTAATGTGACCCGCACCTCCGTCGTAAAGAAACTCAGCCGTCAGCGTTAGCGCCCAGCTCCAGGTTGCTATTATTTCTGAGATTTTTAACGCTGCTACAATTTACAGCTTATCAAATGCAGCTACCAAAATGGCTGTTAGGAGATGACAGCTTAACTGTCTCTTTTAATAACGGAAGAATTAAAGGTTTTAGGCTGAAAGCTGTGTCTTCTGGCAGACAACAACAGAAGACTGAAACTTGTGCAGGATGGAACCATCAACACGACGAAAGAAAAACAAAATCAAGGTGGTTTTTAGTCTTTAAGTTCAGAGGAAGTGGTTCGTTTAGCTTTTTTTTTTGAAGATTTCTAGAGAAATTCTTCAGGGGGCCGACGCAGCTGCTGCTCAAACATCATCACGGTCTAACCTGGGACAGGATGGTCACGTCTGACATATAAACAAGAAAAGAGTGCAAAGATCAAAAAAATGTTAAAGCTGCTGCCAATGACTTATTAGGGGAACTTCTTCAGATCACCATGGTAACCACACGTTAGAAAGCAGCTTTCAGTGGAGGATTCTGAGCGAAGTTTTGCCAAAAATCATGAAACCTAAACTGTGATTGTGTAAAAATGACAAAACCCCAAGTCTCACTCTGAATGGTGTTCCTACTGTAGCCTATTAAACACAAAACAATGGCGCCGCTTCGCCGTAGCGCTGAGGTGGTTGTCTATCACTGGTCAGCCTGTGGCGGACTCCAGAAGCTCCAGTTTAGCGCCCCAGATGATTCTGTTTACAAAAGCCTGACAGGCTTTTCGAGTTTACTCAGTTTAAATATTGCCGGTTGGGGCTCAGTGCAAATTCTGCATGTCATCACGACATCCCTCTCCGTTGTGCGACGCCGTGATCTCCATTCAGAACTCCGCCTTTGCCTGGCGGCACGAATGATATTCTTGCATCAGCACGCTGCTGCGGTGCATTAGGACACGCCATGGCGGCAGCATTACCCCGCGGTGCCACCGCGGTGAAATCTTCCCGACACAGGTAGGTTTATCTGAGCCACAAACGTAGATGTTTCATCTGAACGTCATGGACGACAAACCGCCGCTGCTCTAGAACCCTGGAGCAGATTTCTGAGACGGGTGGACGTCCAGACCAGTGGGACACAAAGAGAAAGACAGCGTTTGAACAACCAGCATTTTATTGCATGTTTAGATGCTCATGTCAGCCTTCGCCGCAGACTACAACAGGTCTGCATCCGACAGACGAGGAATGATGAGATTACAGACTAATGGAAGTGACGAGTAATCGGTTTTCTATAAAAATAATCATAACAGGCAGGAGAAAAGAAACGACAGAGTACATTTAAGGGAAAGGTAGAAAAGAAGCAGAGGTTTAGCAGGATGAGCGATCCTGGGCTCCCGTCTCCGTCCAGAAACCAAAGCGTGGTGGCGATGATTCTTTAGTGTGTGTGTGTGATTTGTGGAGGATGCGGCGTTACGGCGCAGCGGCGAGCAACCTTCGGCCTGCTGCTGTGGTCCCGGTAACAAAAAGCACGGGCATGATAAAAGCGACACATCTTTGATGTTTTGGGAATTAAATTCTCAAAAAAAGAAGAAAAACAAAGTTTAGAACAATCTTCTTTACACCTTGGCACTGCATACTTTCTTCTTTTTTCTAATAATTTCATATAAAACATTAGATTGATACACCCTTTACATTGATACTGAACCCCCCCCCACCCGCCCTCGCACACGACCTCTGTGACCCTGGGATTAGTCATGCAACAAGTCTGCACCTGTGTGCAGGTGAGCTCAGCGTACGCCACAGGAGGCAGTGGTTGGACCATCAAAAAGGACGTATCAAAAAACAGATCTGTACAAAATGAGTGATCACAGAGAAAAGTCTGTTTTCTTTTAAATATAATACAGCTTAGATCCCCCCGCCCCCAACACACACACACACACACACACACACACACACACACACACACACACACACGTGTGAATGGTGGGGTTTTTTTTCTGTCATTTCGTTGTAAAGCAACGATTACGGAGTAAAATACATTTGCAGCGGTTTGCATACAGCAGGTTCTTTTCATCCGTCTGGTCTTTTATACAAAGCAGTTGCACGGAAGCAGAAAACACGGATCAGATCCTTAAAAAGACAGAGAGAGAGAGAGAGAGAGAGAGAGAGAGAGAGAGAGAGAGAGAGAGAGAGAGAGAGAGAGAGAGAGAGAGAGGGGAAGAGGAGAAGACAGTTCAAATCAAAAAGGCCTGAGATTTGTTAGTTTGGCAAAAAGGATCATATGGTCATGAGCTTTGGGTAATGACCGAAAGAACGAGATCGCGGATACAAGCGGCCGAAATGAGTTTCCTCCGTAGGGTGGCCGGGCTCAGCCTTAGAGATAGGGTGAGGAGCTCGGACATTCGGGAGGGACTCGGAGTAGAACCGCTGCTCCTCCGGATCGAAAGGAGCCAGTTGAGGTGGTTTGGGCATCTGGTCAGGATGCCTCCTGGACGCCTCCCCGGGGAGGTGTTTCGGGCATGTCCTGCCGGCAGAAGGCCCCCGGGTCGACCCAGGACACGTTGGAGAAGTTACATCTCCAATCTGGTCCGGGAACGCCTTGGGGTCCTGCCGGAGGAGCTGGTGGACAAGGCCGGGGAGAGGACGGCCTGGAGCTCCCTAGTTGGGGTGCTGCCCCCGCGACCCGGACCCGGATAAGCGGAGGAAGACGACGACGACGACGGCAAAAAGGATCAAACTCTCCAGATAAACAAGCAGTTGTTATTATTATTATTTTCTGTCTACAGTAAAAGTCTACACATGCAGGACGCAGGGCCGAGAGCGGCTGAGTGAAATGATTATTTTCCTCGTTCGATGGCATCGCTCCCTATAGGTTTGGACTGAGCTACGCGTTTCTCATGCTGTTATCTTTAGTAGCGTCATGCTAACAGCTCGCTCCCTGCTTCATGAACCCCAAACAAGCCCAGAGTTAGTGGATGAGCTCGGCTCTGTTCTCACGATCCCGGGCCTGGCTGGGCCTGACCCGTCCCACAGCTGCCTGGATATTAAACACATCTGAAAAGCGCCGACCCCCCCCCCCCCCCCCCCCCATTCCTTCTGCTGCTTGACTTAGGAGAACTCAAATAGGAAAAACAACAAACCATGCTTTTTTCATGAAGTACCTTGTACCCAGCTTATTAGTTTACAGGAGTGTTTTTTAATATAAAAAGTAATACGTTGACAGAAACTAAACAATCATAAAGTCTGGCCAATCTGGACAGAAACTAAGAAGTGGCGTACAACCATCTTAGAGGGTACAGAGAGGAGGAGGAGGAGCAGGAACACCCAATCATCGTGGGTCCAGTTGAAGATCAGAACTCGTTTCACATTTTCTGCAAAGCTTTTAAAACATCTGCACACATTCGATGTTGCACACAAATCCGCCCCACCCCAACACCACAACGTTTCTCTGGGTTTGTCATTTAGTCAAGAAAAAATAAGAACCAGGGACATTTTTCACCAAGGTGCAGCAGGATGAAGCTCTCCAGCCCGGTTTAGAGCCGAACAACGACAGCGCTCATGTTGGTGTTGCAGCATCTTAGTGAAGTCGCCATCAGCTGTCATCAGGACCAGAGAGCTTCATCAGAGGGAGCTCCTGCTGCAGACCACTAACGCTGATGTCACCACATCCTGTCCATGGGTTTGGTCACTCCAGAGCTCTGCTGCTGCCCCACTCTCCCCTTTGGTTTGAAACAATAGAAACAATAAAATAACAATAAAAGGACTGGGTCTGCCGCCGGCTGCTGGAACACCTTTTTGGCCTCATCTGGAGCACGGCACTGACTCTCGTTTATCTTTGGTAGTCACAGAGCAACGTATTAAAACACACAGATGACTTAAAAAGCCAAATACAACATAAAATAAGAATAAATACTAAATTAAAAGTGGTTG